AAACATTGTAAACACTGAAACATTGTAAACACTGAAAACATTGTAAACACTGAAAACATTGTAAACATTATAAACAATGAAAACATTGTAAACACTGAAAACATTGCAAACATGGTAAACATTGTAAACACTGAAAACATTGCAAACATGGTAAACATTGTAAACACTGAAAACATTGAAACATTGTCAACATCGAAACATTGTAAACATTGTAAACATTAAAACATTGTAAACATTGAAACATTGTAAACATTGTAAACATTAAAACATTGTAAACATTGAAACATTGTAAACATTGTAAACACTGAAAACACTGAAAACATTGAAACATTGGAAACATTGAAACACTGAAACATTGTAAACATTAAAACATTGTAAACATTGAAACATTGTAAACATTGTAAACACTGAAAACACTGAAAACACTGAAACATAGGAAACGTTGAAACACTGTAAACATTGTAAACTTTGAAACATTGTAAACATTGAAACACTGAAACATTGTAAACATTGAAACATTGTAAACATTGTAAACACTGAAACATTGTAAACATTGTAAACATTGAAACATTGTAAACATTGTAGCTCTCAAAACATCAGCAAGAAGCAGTCTAAATAAACATAAAACATATTATTAAGAGGATGTTTCATGTTTCGGTTTCCAACATGTAACCAATTAATTCTACTCCACCATTTTCAATTTAGTGTTATTTAATCTACTGACAGCCAAAAAAATAAAAAATTCAGAGCTTTTATTAAACGGTAAAAATGTATTGTTATATTTTAATCTTTGACAGCTGGATTGTGTTACAGCCTGACTGTGGCTAACAACAGTAAACACAAAAATGATTCAACACAAACATGTTGGCCAAGGCTTTTACACATGCTCCATATAAGAAAAAAGAATGTAAAATAAAATAAAGTGGAAAAGATAGGCAACGAATACAGAAAATGTTTCTTTAGAGGTCAATAATCTTTTTTTTTTTTTCAACCTTTAAAGACCTCTTGTTTTTGTCTAATAAAAATCATTCAGCCCGTCTCATTCTCCACAAACATCGTGTTTGTTCCGAGCTGGTTTTTAAGGAGATTTTACAAATATGTCAATTATTAAAAGATCCCATCTTAAAAAAGAGGGGGGGAAACCATGCCCAAAGACAACAACATATACTGACCCCAGATTAAAGCCAACAGAACTGCGACCTCTGACAGGCTACAATTAATCCCCATCTCCGGCAGGATCTCGTGCCCATCACAGAGAGCTTCAGCTGCAGTTACCAGCCGACGACGGTTCTTGTTGCACAGCAGCAGAGCGAGCTGCCATTCAGCTGGAACATTTCATTTCTAGATGTATTCTCTGCAGCATCTGTGACTGTTAACAGCTCACCCCTGAAGCAATACAACCCAGCACCGAGATGCTGAATCTGTTTTAGATTTTCCTTTTGCTTTTGTTTTTCCTTACACGTCTTTTCAGTGTCATAGCTCCCGCTTTATGGGCATTATTCAGGGCCAATGTTTCATGAGGTTGAAAAGTGCAGCAGAATGAACACATCGCATGAATCTGGTTAAATCTTTACATGTGTCAAAGCTACCACACTCATGTTTTTTAAGACCAACACATGAATTATGATTCACCTGCTGAGCGATTGTTTTTTTTTTAATTCACACAGAATTAATAATACAGATTTTAGAGTCACAAAATTACATGAAAGCCATTTCAAAATGGAGCTGTTATGGCTGAGCTACTTTTATTGAAAATTCCTCTAAAATAATCAAAGATGGAACAAAGTGTTTAACAGCCCCAGAGTCAGGCTCGGCCAGGCGTTCACATGCTCGACAGCGACAGGATGACTGCACCTGCCCTCCCCCTGGGAGGACGGATGTGACTGCAGCTTTTATCCGTCTCCCCGATGGCTGCATGTGTTAATGCCGCTGTCATGTCCCGGGGAGAGAGAAGACTAATTACTGACTGCACAGACTTCCTGTCTGTCCCCCCTCAGAGAGACACACTGTTAATTGGACAACTCCAAAGAGGGCTGAACTGGAGATGAGCTGACCTTAACCTTATGTAAACAACATTACAAATCAAATCAATTTTTCATAACTTGTCTCTCATACAACACCATTTCTGGACTACATGACTCATATAACAACTGGTGCTCGGTTACATATATTTTTTTGTTTTAACAAAACTGAAACTCGGATTGTAAGATACAGACGTTTGGCTCGGGAGATCATCATCCTCACAGTGCTTTGTTCTACTTTTCAGTATTCTGTTCACATCTGTCTAGTCTGAATCTGTGTGAAACCCAGATCAAGTGAAACTGTTGAGACCGTCCATCTGATCTCGTGAAAAATGAAGTCCAACTTATTCAAATACAATGTAAAAAATGTTCAGAGAATAATGCATATCCTACACATAAAAAATGCAGAGTTATTTTCATAACCCATCTGTTGGGTAAGAGACGTTGGGTTAGTTTGATCAAATATATGACTCGGGTTGGGTCAGCGACATGCTGTTTTTCTAAATGACAGCTCGAATAATTCTGTATGTGAATGTTTCTGTACAGTAACCTGAGACAACTTTGTTGTGAATTGGCACATTAGAACAGAATTGAATTGAAAGGAACAGAGTGATGTGCATTTCTTCAAATAATGTTACATCTTCTTTCTTTTGAAGTATGTGTCCCCCTTCCCACCTCTCTTGAACCATCTCTCTTCTCTGCCCTAAAGATTAACTTTGTTTTCAAAAGAGCCTCATTTTTAAGACGGACTGAGACTAATGATTTTTAGCCAAAGGATCAGGTCTCCTGGGTTGTGCCAAAATACAAACCGTTTTTTTTTTTTTGCACTATTTAGCAGAAATAATCAGTTTAAATGTTTCCTGTAACATAAATGCTTTCTGTACTCACTTATTTTAGCTATTCACTCAAGCCATTTTAAATTAGATACATTCGTAACGAGCTTCGTAAAGGTTTAGAATAGTTATTTTGCAATTTTTTTCGTTTTTTCTTACAAAGTTAAGGTCATCTGGCTCAAAACATCAAAGTTCATGTTCAATAATCCAGGTAAAAAAAATCCAACAAAGTTAAGTCAGGTCATTGGAGTCAGGATTATTGAGCGTGAACTTTGATGTTTTGAGCCACTTTGGCTATGGCTGCCTCAGAGTAGTAGACGGGGGAGAGGGCGGGCCCCAGAAACCATCTTATCACCATCAAACTGGTTGGCCCACTATGTGAGTGCGCTGCTTATGGGACTAAGTTTGTTGTGGCTCCTTGGACTGATGGAAGTCCTTTGGATGAAACGTTTCTGTAGGATCTTTTTACCTGGATTATTCAGCATTAACTTTAATTCTTTTTAAATCATTATTCTAAGTCAGTGATCCAAGACCTTTACTTCTAGTTTTCTGATTCTTAATTTACTCTAAAAAGGCTTAGAAATATCCTTATTTTCCTAATTCGACATTAGCACCAGAGCAGATTTCACGGCATGATATAACCTCTGCCGTGTTTTTCTGTGGGCACGGTGTTATTCTCTTTATGAGCTTTATTTAATTTAAAGAACAGTTAAATATTGAACTAAATATTTGCCTTTTAATATTGTATTTCTTTGCGTTATTTACTTTTAGAGCTCCAACATGCAGTAAATAGTTTCATCTGGAAACAGAACTCCAGGTTTCCCCCGGTTGGTCTGAAATGATTTAACATAAATTTCCTGATGGTGTGACACCAGGCGCAGTCAGGCTTAGGGATAAATATATTTATTTATTTTACAATTTATTAAATAAGCTTCTAAATGTGAAATATGCATCTAAAATTCTTCAAACTGGTGATATTTTACAAAGGAGGTGATTGATATTTTCATCCAACTGAAAACCGATGTTTACATGTTGGATGGTGTTCCTTTGAGATGATATACACACACATGAACAATCATCATTCTTCAGTCTTAGAGACAATCAGTCTTATTCATTTTTCAAATAATAAATTGTTAAAACTTGCTACAATACGAGCTGCGTCTAAATCCTGAGAATCGTAACAAATTAACGGCACCAAAGGTTAAAGTGCACACTTTGGCTTTATCCAACATAAACGTTATTCTTTGGTAATCCCAGCAAACTCCTCAAATTAAATATTCATGTCTTCAGCAAAATATAGTTCTGTGAGAATTAAGCTCATCTAAGCCTCTCCGGGTAAGGCAGGAACATTAGTTAAAGCTGGGATGAGCCTCTCGTACACGCCGACGCCTTTCAGGAAGACTTGCTCATTCAGATACTCGTTGTGATCGTGCAGCAGAATCGGAGTCCGGTTCATGGGGGAAAATCCGATGGCAGGGATACCCAGCTGGGGTCAGGGGAAACAAATATGAGAAATTCATTTCAAATGTTATAAATAAAATTCCAATATATCTTAGTCAAATACTCACCGCTCGGATGAAACGACTGTCGGTAGCAGCAGGAAATATCTCCTTCACCAAAGTCATGTTCCTACAGTAGAGACGTCGTATGAGACTTGGCTTACGCAGCAAAAACAGGAAAATAGCTTCAAGTGGAAGAATTTATATTACAAAGGCTTATAAAAGTCTTATCATTCAAATCTTCTTTTCAAATACAAGCGCGTGAGTTGGCAACAGCTCAGTTACCAAATTTCAAAGACAACGGATGAATTTTAGCAACTTGAGTTAATTATGACACATGTATGATTGTTTAAAATACAAATATTGATACATGTGCATCGTCCTTTTAAATGAATAAAAGAAATTATAAATGATAAAGCGGTTGATGTGTGAAAAGTCCATTTCTGATTTACCGCAGGTAAAATACGGACCGCTCATACGTAATCCACAAATCCCAACATTAAAGAAATTCAACTTTAAGATCATTAATCTGAAAAATTGCATACACGCTGAAGACGTAAACCAGACAGATGTTGACAGCTGTGGGTACAAATGAAAGTGGGACTAGCTGGCTTTGTTTATATTTTATCTCCACAAAGAAAATGTTTTGTGCATCACCTTCCATTATCTTCCTTGACTCTAACAAGCCAAACAAGGTGTGAAAACGCTCTCGTAGCATGTCTGTACTCACAGCGACTTGCAGGCGGCGCTAAAGGCGCTCCACCAGGGATCGTTCACATCTGTTGATGTGACATTCTGGTTCATGTGTTTCTGTAACAGACCAGCACTAATTTAGTCCCTCTGACAAAACCAAACAAGTATAAACTTGACACTTCTTCTTCTTTTTTTTTTTAAAGTTGGTCTTAAACTCACCTGAGCAAACTGATAAGTGACACCTTCTCCTGCTTCCTGACACCACTGCTTGATCTGTTCTTCAAACTCCTGTTGGCGTCAAGAGGTTAACGTGGAGCTCGCTCTGAGCCGAGGATCTGAAACTGCAGCTGCATTCACTCACCTGGAGATTCACTGTTGGGGGTATTCTTAGATCAAAGCTGACGTCCATATCAGCTGGGATGACGTTGTAGGCCACGCCCCCTTTGACCATTGTCATATTCACTGTGGTGACATCACCCAGTGTGAAACACTCACTGGTGTTCAGCCTGAAAGAGCCACATGAGGTGGTGTTAACAATAAAATGCAGAACTACATTTCCAAGATCGTGGCTAAAAATATAACTTATGTAAATGTTGTTACACAAATTCAGTTTAGTCTCTAAATATTAGAAATGTTGACAGACAACAAACAATAATTGATGAAGAACCAGGCTTAATATAAACGGGAGTCTAATCTAATCTATAAAAAAAAAAGTTTTAAATTTCTCTACTCCTCCTTAATTTACTCATTTCCATGACATATTTCCCAGTGAAATTAATCTATAATTGTGACAAAATAAAGACATAATTTTTTTTTGTTTAAAGAAAGTTTTTCAGATTTTTTTTACTTTTATTTTTTTTTTTATCTCCTATCAGATGAAAAAAAATTGATGGCTGTTAAAAACTTAAAGTCCTTAAAGTTTATGTTTTTTTTTCTGCAGGTCAAGGCTATTTCCACAACAGTAACGTCTACAAACCCAGGAAGTATATATTTCTAAATATTTAATATTACAGTCGTTTCTTTCACTGTACATTACAAACTTTGCAAAAATCTTTAATTATTTACAGATATATATATAAAAAATAAAAAAGCATTCAAAAAGTATTCTTATTGGAAGTTCATGCAGACAAAAAGCTTGCAAAGTATCAAAACAGCGTCATAGATATTTGATTTTTAAGACCATAAAAATAAATAAATCCTTTATATAAAGTGGTGTATAAAAGAGCAAATTAAATGTTCTCACCGGTGCTTTTCCTTCTCTCGAAAGTCCAGAAAAGAGTTTATGATGTGCCGCTGTAGGAAAAAAAAAATACAAAGTTCAGTGACGCATTACGATAAAAAAAATAAAAAAAATAACTTCACTTCTTAAGCATAAATTTTACTTTGAGGAAATAAAACACAAAATTGGTGGACTGGACTACATCTTTGCCAAAAAAGAAAAAGAAAAAAAAAAGATATGTCTATTAATTCAGTATGATTTATTCATTTGAACAGATTTGCATTCACACCGTCTTTTTTTTTTAAAATCTTATATTACATAAAAACAATTTACTTTTTTTTAGAATTAGTGGAACTAAACTAAAATAGCTGCATTATTTTATGTATATATTTTTTAAGTTAGCCATTTCTAGTAAGTTTGCCATAAAAAGAAAAACGGTGGATATTAAAGCCAGTTAATGATTCTTACCAGTTTCTCAGCAGCTGTATTTTCCACAAACCTGGAGCCGTGACCTGGACTTCCTGGGCAGTGGATTGTAATCCCTGGAAAACAGAAAATCTTTCACTTAAGATGGATTTTATTATCCATTAAAATTCAAAACAAAGCTCCTCAAACGTTTCTCCCTTGAAAATTTCAGACACTGATGTTATAATCTGTTTCATACTCACACCAGGGATTCCTTTCTCCATAAAACACAGTGAACGCCTCACCAGGATTAGCCAGACCTCCAGAATACAAACACAAAAGCCCACTCTTAAAATTAATTATACAAAGGACAAACTGTGATGCAAACGACAGAAACATGGTGGGTAAGTTAGAAGCTTCATAGTAGCATTCCTAAATTCAGACAATGTAAGATTAATTTATTTTTACACATTTTCCTTTCAGCACAAAAGCACACTTAATATATTTTTGTGGTTATTGATTTTAAATCTTAGAGTGCACACTGTCTCTGGGTTTTAACATAAATTCAAACTAATCACTCACCCAGGGTTAAACATTACCACAGGATGAAGCTAGAATTTAAAGAAAAAACTGACATATTGTCAAAACCAACTTCTAAGACCTTATTTTTTAATCCTATTTTTTTAAATGGTGATAAAACCCAAAAATAGAGCATTTAGCTCGTCATCAAATGATAAATACGAGTGAGCAATCCATCTAAACAAATGAGATAAACTTTTTTTTATTATTTTAAGTATGAAGAGTGATTTAAAACCCAAAACATAAACTGCAGTGCAGCACACAGTAAATATACCCAGCTGCTGTGTGTGTAATGAGAAAAGTTAAGACCCAAATAAAACGGTGCTAAAAGTACAGAAACTGCCCTTGTTTGTTTTTGCTAAAAAAATAATGTGATATTTTATCTCCCTACACCATTTAATCTTCTGTTTCGACTGTGTAACCTGCCCCACTTCAAAATAAAACTTGATATTTGAGTCTTGATACAAAAAATAAAGATGAAAACAAAGAACAACCCAACATAAAGTTAGTACTATTGACCCCCTACTCTTATTTTTTTTTTTGCCTTTACTTTACCAGGTGAAATGTTTGAGAACCAGGTCTCATTTACAAACACTATAAAGAAAAATTAAGCAGCAAATTCAATTAACAATGAACTAAATTATCAACCAAAGTTTTATTTGTGGTCAGTAACTTTGGTGTCACCTGGGACTTCGCTGTTCTCGAGTCAAGGTAACTATTTTTCAACTCCTGATCAATACACAATGACTTTGGAGTCATTTTATTGGACTGTATGAATGAATATAAAGTAAATTAAAAAACAAAAATAGACTTTTATTCTATAGTTTATGGAAAGTTTACCTAAAAAATAAAGTGTATTTCTTTTTGTTTGTCTGTTTTTCAATTTTCCATGTCCTGGATGACTAAAGAATCTACATCAACATAATTTTCTTGATTGGACCTGTTTAAGGTTTAAAGTTGAGATTTTTTTTCAGAGCAAATTGTGTGTGAGAATCTTAGTGAATAATCCCACGACACATTTAATCATCTCAAATGGAAAGTTAACATTTAACTTGTACAAAATGCTGCAACCAGTGGAATATTTACCTTCATCCAGAGCAAAGCCGATGTTTAGTTTCTGAAACTCTGGATGGGTCACGAACGTTTCCATTCCCTTATGACCTCCAACTTCCTCATCTGGAATGACAAAACATGCAAGTAGCAATCAAAGTCATGTCTTGTGTCTTCAGTGTTTGTGATTAAACAAACCCTGGCTGAAACAGGGTGGTTCTGATGTTAAATGACCAAAACTTCATGAATAATTTCTGCTTCAGGTCCTTACAGAAACAGAGTTGAGGTGTGAAGCATCAAAACAGTCAAGAATCTTACCAGGGACATACATTAAATGCACAGTACGTGCTGGTTTCCATCCTACTGCCTTCAGTCTTCGGACCGCCTGAATGTACCTGAACACAGTTATGACAAAAACGTGGTTCTTATTGAACATAAACACAAGTGAAGACCATAAAAACAAAAGCACAAATAGTTGCTGAGGCAGTTTATACCCACTGTATAGTTACACTTTTCATGTCCTGTGATCCTCGGGCATAAATGTTGCCCTGTGCATCTTTAAAAGCACTGAAAGCATCATATTTCCAATGTTCCTGAAAAAAGATAGATAGCTAGTTTATTTTTGACTTTTTTGTCACAGCTATTAAGATTGTAACACACAAGTCAAAGACCTAGATCGTACCTGGTAAACAGGTACGACGTCTGTGTGGGAATTCAGTAAGATGGATTTTAACGTGGGTTCTGTTCCTTCCCACGTCATGATTGACACAACTCTGCCCGGACAAACCTTAAAGCAGATGAACAGAGGTGAAGCACTTGTGTCACGTCCTTCAAGCACAGGTCGTGACTGTTCTTCAAGTGGATTAAATCACCTCAATCTTTTTGATTGGCAGCTCGAGCTCTTCTGCAATTTGGTCCAAGAATCTGAGAGCAGCATCTATAAATGAATCAACACAGAGTGGAAAACTTGGTTTTTACATGAACAGCCAAGTTAAAATCCTTAGTCAATGCCAATTTTGTTCGTAGCTGTGGTTATGCTGATAAACTTTGGTAAGGTCAAAAGAAAATCAAATCAAAGCTTTTATTACTTTTACATTTTTCAGTGCCTGAGCCTGTTTGAGGAGACGATCCACAATGTTCCAACACACCAGCTGAATGATCTCCTGCTGATTGTTATATTCCAGTTGTGCAAACTGGAATGCATCTTTAACCAACGTAATATTTGGACTAAATGCACAGATACAAGATTTAGATTGCGTCGTACAAGGATAAAGGCAATGGCCTTGTAAGAAAAAAATAATAATCTGAATAAATATTTAGGCTGGTTTAGAGAACCTATTAAAAAGGCATTTCAAGTACGTTTACTTATTTTACAACAAAGTCAAATTGTAAAAAACACGATGAGAGAAATTTACAAACTCGTTTGAAAATGAAATTGCAACGCATGCAACATATTTACACCTTGATCTAATTTAATATTTTATCTTTATAGAAGTTTACTTTCAAAATAAACTAATAACTAAAGGAAACTCACCTGGTTAAAGAAAAGCATTACTACTCATCCTGGATTTATTAAGCGACAACTTTCACTTTAAGTGACAGGATGCCACCAGTGAACCTCAACATCTAAAGCTTCATGAATAACTACATTTAATGTGTAACTTATGTAGATAAGAGCTGGACTTTGACAAAAGGCGCAGAACGGATGCAGGCAAATCAGTTCCACTCGTTCACACACGCAGAAGAATTGGGATTTAAATCAATTCACTAAACCTGTACGTTGCAGAATGTGTGAGAATAAAACAATCGTTATAAATGTGACATGAAAAAGGCTGGCAAATGAGCCTAAATCAAGCTGTGTTTGAGTTCGGGGCAGGCCTCCTCACCGTAGTCAGGCTCAGGGTGGACAGTTCTGAGACGAAGGTATTTTCTGAGCAGACTCACAGAGGGGTCCTCTCCTTCAGGTGAGCTGTGTCCTCCTCCAACACCTGGACCATCTTTGTCAGGCAGCATGGCTCGTTTACTCCTCTATAAGGACATAAAAGACACAAACAATCACATCTGCAGTAAAGCGTGTCAGGATCGTGTGACATATCTAGTTAAACAGTCTTTACTGTAGTCCAGATTTAAAGACAAAGAAAGCTGAATCCGGTTCCAACTGGAGCCTGAGTGACTTGCCTCCAGCACCTCTCCATTCGGCTAGCTTTGTTTCAGGTACCACGAGACACATTTTCTTTGCTACAGCTAAGTCCGAAATGCTAGCTAACTTACCGAGATTAACGGTAGTGCGCGGCACTGTAAACACACGACGTCGTTTTTTTTTTTTAACTCAATAATGAGTTGCCAGAACTCTTACCGACAACTGTCAACCAGCGGGCAGAGGTCAAACTATTAATTCTTCGGAAGGAGGGGAGTTCATCTGGCCTCAAAAAAAAAAGACTGAACCTCTCAAAAAGGGCTAAAACCGACATATTTTAGATCAAGATTATAAATATACGCATCTTTTATATTATACGTAATTTTAAATATTAAAACTCATTAGATTTGTTAAAAACACAGTATGAGCCACGAAGTGGACTAAACCATTTCAGAGCTATGACGTTAGCGTCCGTCTAGCTGCTGTTAAGGCAAGCCAACTTATCATATAATAATTAGGCTCTTCAAAGGAGATGGATTTATCAGAGTCAGTCAGAGTCAGAGTTTCTTTATTGTCATTCGCACCTCATGTGGTACATGTGGTGGAGCGAAATTATGTACACAGGGTCCCAGTTACATCCAACAATAAAATGTATAAGAAAAACAGTAATAACATCTAAGATATGAACTAAGAAAAACATCAACTAAATATACACTAAGCACTCATAACATAAAACATTGAACATCAGCACAAACATGAACATGAGTCTGTGAGCAGATGTGCACGCATGAACACATCAACATTGAAACAGATCAGCAGCAACATGAAACAGATCAGCAGCAACATGATATGGTTTTACACAGTGATTATTCTAGTTAGAGATTCATGAGTCTAACAGCCTCAGGGTAGAAGCTGTTCCTCAGTCTAGTGGTTCTACACTTAATGCTCCTTTACCTCCTTCCTGAGGGGAGTGGGGCAAAAAGTGTGTGTGCTGGGTGGGTGGGGTCCTTCATGATGCAGGTGGCCCTCTTCCTGCATCTGGAGGTGTAGATGTCTGTGATGGTGGGGAGACTGATTCCAACAGATTTCTGTGCAGCCTTCACCACTCTCTGCAAAGCTTTTCTTTCTGCAGCTGTGCAGCCTCCATGCCACACATTGATGCTCGAGCACAGGATGCTCTCCACTGCACACCTGTAGAAGGAGGTGAGGACTGAGCTTCCCAGACCAGCTCGCCTCAGCCGTCTGAGGAAGTAGAGTCTCTGATGAGCTTTCTTGATCAGGCTGGTGGTGTTGTTGCTCCAGCTGAGGTTGTCATTCATGTGTACACCCAAGTACTTGTAGCTGGAGACCACTTCCACCGCAGATCCTCTTATGTTCAGGGGGGTGTAGGTGTTTTTGTTCCTTCTGAAGTCCACAATCATCTCCTTTGTCTTCTTCACATTGATGTGAAGGTTATTCTCTTTGCACCAGCTCTCCAGGTGTTCCACCTCTTGCCTGTAGCTGGACTCATCATTGTTTGTGATGCATCCCACCACCGCTGTATCATCTGCAAACTTTACAATGTGACAGCCTGGATGGGTAGCTGCACAATCATATGTGAGCAGAGTAAACAGAAGGGGGCTCAACACACATCCCTGAGGAGAGCCAGTGCTGAGGGTTATGGTGGAGGAGGAGAGGTTTATCCAAGGCTTGTTAGTGAAAAATGAATATTTTAGCTATCCATGCTGTTATTCATCCTACCTATAATCATATTTCAGTTATCAAAAACACAATTCTTACTGAACAAAATTATGTAATTTTTCTCATTCACATGGGAAGGGTGGGGGAGTCTGTAATTGTCATTGTATGTTCAATGGCAAAATGAGTTCTCTGCATTTAACCCATCACACCTGAGATGCACCCAGGTGGAGCAGTGGGCAGCTATGCAGGTGCCCGGGTGTCTTGCTGGGAGACACCAGACATGTGGGAATGGCTGGGGGTCGAGCTGCATCTTTCTGGTCCCAGGTTGGCTGCCCTACCGCTACCCCATCTCGGCCCCCTTTAACTTTTCAGCTTCAGACATCCACAATTACATTTTTCTTATCTAATTTAAATATTCAAGATATCTGAATTAGAATTATTAGGACAAACTATAGCCATTAATGGTAAACACTGTACTTAACATGTTAATCTTAGACTTAAAGTTTTATAGATTTATACTTTCAAATTGTTTTTATCTAATCCAGTCTCAGTTGTGAAAGCTGACATATAATTGTTACTTGAGATGCTTTTTTTGTGTAAAGGAAATGCTACACAAAATGAAAATAAGTAATGTGTTGCTCAACTATATGCTACAATGGCTTGCTATAACCATGAGGAAGCAAAATATACATTTCAAAGGCAAATAAATCAAAGTACTTTAAAACAACATATACTAAACTAAGAACAAATGAACAAACACCAAATGTTGTAAATATACATATAACCATAACAACTAGCTAAAAGCTTGTCTACACTAAAAAATCTAAAGGGTATGTGGGGTACGACACAAAAACCATGCAGGGCCTGTCCAGAGTCGAGGCACAACTTGAAAAGTTTAACCTCCCCCCCTCCAAAGTCTAAATGCATTTCCTAGGAGCAGCTAAGGATCACTGGTTAGATGACATGAGATCAAGGGTTGATGTATTGGACCTCAACAGTTCACAAATATAGTTAAAATTTCAAATCCATCCATCATCTTTACCCGCTTCTTCCTTTTTGGGTCACGGTGGTCGCCGGTGCCCATGTCCAGCAGTCACTGTGCGAACGGGGTACACCCTAGACAGGTGTCCAGTCCATCACAGGGACACGTTGAGACAAATGAGACAACCATTCACTCTCTCACTCACACCTAGGGACATTTTAATTACCGTTTAGTTTCACATGCATGTTTTTGGTCTGTGGGAAGAAATCGGAGAACCGGGAGAAAACCCACACATGGACGGAGAGAACATGCAAACTCCACCATAAAGGCCCCACCGAACCGGGATTTGAACCAGGATAACCTGCTTGCTGAGAGGTAGCAGCTCTTCCAGTTGCACCACTGTGCTGCAAAATTTCAAATCAGACTAATACATTTATATAACTTAATATTTATTACTGTATGAACATAAACCTGCTTTAGTCTCGGTTGACTTTGGCCAAGTCCTGTTTCTAACACACTGAATTAAATGTCCTGTCAGTAAAATAAATTCAAACTTTTCTACATTGTGGATGGGTGTTCATTAAATTCACTTTTTACTGTTTAAAGTACGAGCATGTATCATTTGGGTTATATATAATATAAAAAATGACAAATATATATTACAGTAGTTTATTTACTCTTTTAGTGCACTGACAATAATTTCAGCTTATTTTCTGCAATAAATTAACAAGGTAAAATTAAAAAGACAGAAAAAAAACAACAACTTGCAACTTGTATAACTTTACAATAAACTTCAGTCGTGCAGGACACCTGCTTCAACTTGGGAGTGTTAACCGACATCTCTTATTCTTAATATCATAAACACAATGTAAATCCCAGCTTTCAAAACTCCGTTTCAATGTAAAAAGTGCTTTGTTGAATACACATTCAGAACCAAATGTAGCATGACTACAAGATCTTAGCTGTTTTTTTTTTGTTTGTTTTTTGTGCATTACCATGAAAAAGAAACAGACTCAAGTAAGTTCAACTTTTTCTGTAACAGACTTAACAACAGTGATTTCAATGAATGAATTTGTTCCAGGAACAAGTCAGTAACAGCTAATGTAGACATAAAACACACACCAACAGTTGTTTTGATAACCGTCTGTGTCTTTCTACCATTAGTATACCGGTATATACCGTAGTATATAGTATTTATTTTATATAGTATTTGAGCTGACACTACTATATATACACACACACACATTAACTCAACAGTAGTTTCAGCTCAAATACTCTTTTTCCTTTAAGTATTCTCAAGCTATTCTATGATTGTCCAAAGTTATTGCCAACATTCATTTATATACTCAACTTTGTAATCAGTTTCAATCTGTTTTACATATTTTAGGTAGAACATGAATCTGTTAAACTTACACAGCATGTTAGCATGAAGCAGTGGTTAACTGGGTTAAGTGTTTGTCAGGTGTGAAACTTGCACAACATTGTAACAGGGACATTTACATATTTACAGTTAGCTACAGTACACGTACAATGCACTAAAATGGTAACGATAAATTCAATACGTACCATCTTATAAAGCAGCAAGGGACAGAAAAACAAAATGCACCACTACACACTTGGCTATATTTTAATAAAAAGCTGAGAAGCAGAGTTAGGCTAGTTTCTAATTTTCAGGTCATGTCATGAAACATTTGAATAATTGAACCAATTAACCTCCCCTCATGTCATCATCGTGTGATGAGAAAAACACTAACCTTAGAGCATTTTGCCAAACCTGACATCAAATTAAACCCTTGCTGCCTTGCTTGTTTTCCTCCTCACTACCTTCTCTTTCCATTTGCTACACATCTTTCTTCAGCTTGTTGAGGAACTGAATCAACCCTTGGTGAAACTCGTGCGGTTTGTCCATGTAGCAAGCATGGCGAGCTCCTTCCAACTTTAGCACTTCATGGTTAGGAAGTTGTATGAGGTTCTTGTGGGACTGGGCACCCAGATTTGTGTCCAGAGCTCCGAACACAATCAGAGTGGGCGTCTGAAAAGAACAAAATGGAGGAGTCAAGACGGAAATGATTTCATTATAAAAATGGTTTTCTACCTGTGTCAAACACAGATGTGTAAAGAAAATAAAAATGCCGTCTTAAATCGAAACATACAAGGTGCTTTGTAAAAGAAAAATAGGAAAAGAGCAACATTAAAAACAGAAAACTTTAAAAGTATACACAAATAAAAAAAAATTCAAGTAAAATCACATTTTTTTTCAAGATGGAGAAATTTAAACATAAATAATTGTAATTATTATGTTAATAATAATAATAATGGTAATTGTTCATCCCTTATTTTGTACTTGAAATAACTTATTTAGGCATAAATGTGAGATAAATCTACTTTAAGAAATATACTGTAGTTATTTTTTTTGCACTCTCTGCAAAACAATATCAAATGTTGCTGACAGAACTGTAACAAAAGAAAATCTGAAAATCAATTATCACCCCCCCCCCACACACACACACACACACACACACATGAACTGATTATGTGAATACAGACCATTTAAACATTTAACTTGTCACAAATTATTTTATTTATTTTTTAACTAAATTTAGTATTTAAGTTCAATTTGTCGTTTATGGTAAAATATATGAATACATTTAAATTAAAAACGTATTCTACATGGATGGCACAATTTGTCCAAAACATCTACAAATAAATAAATAAAATAACAATCTCAGTCTAATAACCCTAAAATTATGAGCATAAACAAGATTTTTTTTTTCTTATAAAATATGATGGAAGCAGAGAGTGCAAATTTTCTTTAATAACTTTAGTAAATAAACTATTGTTTCTACTATAATCTCATGATCATACATCTATTTTTCTCACCTGAATTTTTTTGTACTGCTGCGGAGAGTAACTCCGGGTGCCGACTGGCGCTACAGGAATGAAGCCACGCAGCTGTGCGCTGTTCTTCATGAGGAAAGGGAGGGAATAATGTCCGCTCATTGAGGGGCTCAAAAGCACAGCTGCTCTGACACCCAAAGACACCATGAACCTTGACAGGAGGTCTACCCGACTTGGGTCAGTCTTCAGAGCCTCAGAGTCAGGGGATTTCCCATATCCTTGAGAAGGAACACATTCAAGAACACAGAGCTTTAATTTTTGCATCATAACTGCAAAATGCTTCAAAATGAGAACAATTAAACAGATGGATCAATTATTGTGATATGGCTCATGTCCAGTAGGATACGACTCAATTCATCTTAAACAGAACTTGACACAAATAATGTTTTCATATTGGGATTATTAATTTTGTTTCAGGCAATAAATATTGAGCAGGTAAAAACGTTTCTAGCCATAAGAGGGCACTCTCAGCTCATGAAAGGTTGACTTTCCAAACTAATAACTGTGGAACAATACAAAAAGATATGGCTTTATCGGTTTTTTCCAAGGAAAATGTATTATTTGTTACTTAAAATTAAAAAAAAGCAAAAATCTTACTCCATTTTTCATAAAACTAGTGCAAAACATAGACTTTCTTTACTATACACATATGCTTTTAGTATAAACTAATGCTTTACATAATGCATCTACTAGTGCAGTGGTTCCCAACCCTGATCTTTTTTTCCTTGTTCCAACACACCTGATTTATTAATTCATCAAGTTCTGCAGAAGCCTTTTAATCACCCATTTATTCAAATCAGATGTTTCAAAGCAGGGAAACAACTAAAACATGCAGGATGGTGTTCCTTGGGAACAAGGGCTGGGAGCCACTGTACAGCTTTACATAGTTATAATATTATAAATCAATTTTCATAATCATCATCACTTACCTGGCAAATCCATTGCTATGGCCTGATATCCATTAGTGGCTAGCAGGGCCATGGTTCCCACTTCCTCCCAGGTCTTGGAGGTGAAGGCCTGGCCATGCAGAAGAACCACCTGCAGCCTTCAAAGAAATATCATTTAGTTCCTCAGAACTAGCACAGTCTTGTCAATTGCCATTTTTGCATGTTTTTATTAAAAACTCTTGCTATATAGTACTTTCTAGTTAAACAGTAGTTTCTAGTTAAACTGTGGTTTCTAGTAGCTCACCTTGGTAAGATCTCCTGGCCAGCTCTATCCACTGGTAAAGCTTCTCTGAAAAACAATGGAGGGTCTCCAGGTAGTTGTCCGGTGCGAATAGACACATTGATGGTTTGAGCCCCGGGGGGAGCTGTAGCCATCAGCCCCATTTTCTGAGCTGTGATGGATGGCTCCATGCTGCCCTGGCGAATGGACGGCAGAAGCAGGTACAGCAACAACGTAGCCAACAACACCAGGCTCAAAACGACAAGACGATTGCGGAAGAAATTCATTTCATTTAGATAAAAAAAAACCTGGAAAAAACAAAGCAACATCTGAGAGTCCCTCACAACAATACAGTTGTTCTTTGTGTCATTTTAGTGTAGAAACAGAAATCACCAATAATAGGACATCAGCATGACTTGGCCCACTGCTCTATCCTTAGTTATTATTTTAAAAATAGAAAAATCGTGATTATTAAAGAATCATGACTATTACAGAAACGTGCTCTGGTCTACAAGTATAACAGAAACGTGCTCTGGTCTACAAGTATAGCTCTAACAATTTGCTCAACATTTATTTAATGGTTAAAGATAATACTTATTCTTGTCTCAAAATCTTTTGGGACATAGGTTTCATTGAACAATGATGTCTGCTTGAAATCTGCTATGAAGATAAATGTAAACTGTACAATCAAGCATCTTGTAGAGAATGAAAATTTACACTTTATATTAAACAAAATACACTTTATACTTAAAATGTACACTTTATACTTTTGCTATTTTTTGGTGTAACTGGGATCGTGAGTACATAATTTTGTCCCACCTCATGTACCACATGTGATGCGAATGACAATAAACTTGACTTGAACTTGAAAATCCAGCCCACCTCTCACAAGCAGATCTTTTAACAACTCTGGATTCATTACAGTCACAAAGTTATTAAATATAGTAGTATTTAACTGAAAATAAATGACTGAATTTGAAAGTTTGGTCCCTGTCAAAAAAGAAAATTCTTCATTTGTTTACATCAGTTTAATCCGATTGCTTATGTTTGATCCGCGCACTAAAAACATTAGCTGTCATCACGTTAATCTCTATCGTGTATCGATGTAACTAAACAATTTAAGAGTACAAGCGTCTGTGAACACAAAGCAAACTCGAGAAATAACCCACGATAAATTAGGACTCAATAAACGCTTTAGAATAAAGAAGTTGGAGTTAATTTTCACGCACTGCAAGAACAGTAAAAACCATTAGAATTAGCCAAATATCCATTAGCTATAGCACTTGTAATCGTTTTAAGTTTTCTGCAATAAAAAAATAACACATACCTACAGGGAGGAGACAACTAAAAACGTTCACTAAAAAAAAGGACGTGGTTGTATTTTAGTGTTCATGTCTTCTGCATTGCTGCTTGTGTCACAAATTAAAGCTAAGCCCTCGGCAGCAGCAGGTGCTAACTTTAGCAGGAAAAACGGACAAAAAGTCAAAATTTTGGTTTTGCCGACAAACAAAAAAAGAAACTACATCTAATATTGGGCTCCACACGAAAAAAATTGAAACGTGAATTAAAAGTTCCAGGCACTGAAATGTTTAAATCTATCAAGGTCTTGAGTTAACCATCGGGTTCCATCGACATGTCTGTTACTCATCGGAACCTTTTCTGAGTTGCACAAAACAAACCCGTTCATTATACGTCATTTCCTGTTGAGGCCGCTCAACAAATTAAAAGTTTTCAGTTAGTGCTAGACATTGGATTAAATTACTCTGATTTATTTGGAGGTTGCCAATTCATGTTGTTTGTAGACTTTCTTAAAGCTTTTGATACTGTGGAACATCAGTTAACTTTACAGTTCTTAGATTTGGTTTTGAAAGTTTATTTTTCCTTCATATAGCTCAGAGAAAAGGTCGTCGGTTCAAATCCCGGCTGGAGGGCCTTTCTGGGTGGTGTTTGCATGTTCTCACTGTGCATGCATGTTTTTTTTTGTTTTTTTTTCTGGTACTCGTTTCCTCCCACAGACCAAAAACATGCAAATTGTCCTAGGTTGTTTTGTTTACTCTATGTGGCCCTGTGATGGACTGGAGACCTGTCCAGGGTGTACAGTACACCGCCTCTCGCACAGTGACTGCTGGGTATGGGCACCAGATCCTCGTGACCCAAAAAGGAAGAAGCGGGTAAAGATAATGGATGGATGGATAATAGCTCAGTGAAATTAACTGGTGAAACTTGCCCTAGATTTGGTCTCTCAAGAGGCATCAGAGATGCTCTGCCGCTTCATCTCCTTCTACTAGTTGCTCAACTCTTAGCAGACCATATTAGATGCAGTGAAATTCAAGGTTTCTCTCTCTGCTGGACAGAAATCTTATCACTCATCTGGCTAATGATACCACTCTTTTTTTTCTTTTTAGAAGAATCAAAACCAAATTTATACTGCACTGGAGTGAAGTGTGAGTTTATGGCTATTAAGAAATGTTCCAGTACTATTTGTAATATATAGGTTAAAAATGAAGTGAGATACTTGGAAATAATAATCTGGAACCTAAAACTCAAAGTAGACTAAACCAGTAGCAAGGTTTGATTACCAAAGTGGAGGGAATTTCACATTTAATGCATGCCAATCTGTCTCTCCATGTGGAGAAAAAAAAAACTCTTAAATGACATTGACAAGACGCTCTTTACCTTCATATGGAGAAATAATACTCAATATTTATGGAAACCTGTTCTCATGAATGCATGATAAAGGTGGTCTAAACTTTTCGTATTTTGCACGTTAAACAATACATTTAAGATTAATTGGTCAAAATATTTAAAGAAACATCCCTCTCCAAATATCTAAACTAGGTGGTTTAAACTTGTTCTGAGTGTGCAACTATGACATTGATAGAATTTCTATTAAGATGCCTGCTTTTCATCCCCAGGCCTTTTTGTCATCAATTTGCAAAAACGTGTACAACACTCTGTCTAGTGATGCATATATGTATGAAGTTTTATTAAATTATCTTGAGTGGTTTAGAAGTTATGGAGAGGGGACAAGAGGAAGTTTAAAGATGTAAGGATGGAGATTACCATGTCTGCCTTTTGATGGGCATAAAAAAGGAGTACTGTAACCTTATTCTATAAAAATTACATTTAATGATGACAACATTTAACACAAAATGTAAATATGAAACATTCAAAACAATTTTTTTTTTTTGGCAGAAACAGTTTGTAATAAAAATACATTTTTGGCAAAACCAAATGAGTAGGAAAAATAGCAGGAAAAAAATTGATGTTTACTAGTATATTAAGACAACGTATGTCTAGCATACAATTGATATAAGTAAAGAACTAAAAGGAGAGTAGAGCAACTATTAAAAAAAACTAATTTCTTGGTGACAGGATTCACAGTGGAACATATTGCAAACACAACGTTACATTATGTGTCATCTGTTACAAGTTTTGTACTTTGGGAACAGGTTTACCTTTCCAAAACAGCAACTTGTAATAATGCACAATCCACTTCAAGGGAAGTATTTAAAGTGCAAAGAAAAATGGTAAGATGGATATTAACTGAAAAATGATCCATTTTTGGAGACATTCAAAAATATATCATAAATCTAAATCTCCATTTAGTCCTTAATTACCAAATGCTTTACAAAAATGAAACTGCTCTGGTAATAAAATAATCCTGACATGTACCTTAGTAGTAATCAGTACTGCGTCACCACCAGAAACCCCGATACAATCTGAAGTGACATCATTCAACTCCTACCCTGAAAAAAGGTTGGGAGTCGTATCTAAAACAAGGTTTCTTTTCTTCTAAGTTTTCAGTCAGCTACTTTTACTTATATTTTACTATAAAAGGCTGTATTTTAAAGACATAGCAAATTATACAAGAGAAACCAAATGTTTAACTGATGATTGGACCTTTGATATTTCTGGGTTCAAACAGCTTACGTGATATTTCAAATACTAACGGCCTCCCAAAATTAAAATTCAAAAAGAAATTAAATATAAAAAAATTAAAAAACTGAAGTGATATTATCCGAATACTTGTACGGGTAATTGAAAAATTTGAAATGACATTTTTCACAGTAAAATATGTATACAGTACAATATTAGAAAATAAGTATAAAACACTGAACTTTCCTATTCATCCAGTTGCAATTTCACTTTTATATGTACAATTCATAGAATTCAAAACATGGAAGGTATTAATGTAAGGTTATTGTAATACACTGAGCTAAATATCACTGAAAAAAGTCTAAAATACTATAGAAAAAACGAGCCCTTTGTAGCCCTGCTAAGGCACATACATGAAACAAGAAGGTCCAGCCACTTTGTTTTCACAGGCAAAAGATTTAAGGCTGCATGATTAATAATCTTATGGCATGATACATTTGTTTGCATTTCATTTGTAAGGCTGTGGCATACTGTAAAGACTGATCTATCCACAAAAACAAAACGCTGCTCTAGGCCACTGCTTCAACAAGCAAGAAACAAACTATAGTTTGTGGTAATTCACCAACATGGACATAAATATATTTCCAGTTTTTAAGGTTCCAGTTGTTCAATTCTTCTGTTTACTATAAGAAATAAATAACACAAACCATCATTGGAGAGTTGAGCCATAGTGGAGCCAATATTTCCTACATAACTTTCCAGAACCCAACCTGAAGTTTGTCAAGCAAAACAGTATTTGTCATGTGTGTGCTGACATTAAACTTTCTGTCTTTAAATCCAGATGTGACTGCTTGTTGCTGCCAATGCAACACTAATTTCATGGCAAAGTTACTACAGTTATGCCCAAAAGTCTGAACGTTTCCCTTCAGTGCTGCTGGAAGAAGTAAATGGTTTAGTTTCGTTGTATTCCTAATGAAGCAGAGAGAGAAGTCCGAGTGGGAGTAAAAGGCAAACAGGCCAGGTTCCTAAAACAGAGGGGGCTCTATTCTGCCCTTTTTCTTTCTGCTCACAACCTTCCCCTTTATACCCAGTGTAGCACTGGCACTTGAAATGTTTGCGGAAAACCAGCAGCTCAGCTTGGCCAGGCTTTCCAGTCACCTTCAGCTGGCCGCTCAGGCTTGTAATCCTGTGTGTTGAGGCGCTGAGGTGCAGATACTCATCGCTGTCCGGTAATCGGCGTAGACAGCGGCCATGGAACTTGCACAACATCTGGCTGCACTGCTCTGCTGCTGTGGTCACGTTGAGGAGGTAGCGCCCCAACGGTCCCATAAGATACTTACTCAGGGTGGAGCAGCTGGTCTGCAGTAAAGAAAAAGGAGACATTAGCACCAAACCAATTAACAGCAGCATGTTCAGCATCAGGTGAGAAGATGATCATTCTTACATTGCTTGCATAGGAGGTGTCCCCCCAGAAGATTACACCTGCAGCTCCAGCTGCGACACTCTCACCAATAGTGGACACCAAATCTGTCTACAAAACATGTACACAAACAGTTCCATTGATTTAACAAAAACATTACAGCCAATTTATTCTAATACATTCGATAATAGATGTTTTATAACAAAAAAACAGAATATAATATTTCTATCTACCTTTAAATAAACATTTTCTAACAGGTATGTCTTTGGAAAGAAATCTTTGTCTTGTGATTCTTTCTTTTAAAATGTACCATTTTTACTCTGCCAGCTGATGTAGCGCAGAGAAATATCTTAGTATATTGTTTGGCACCACTGGGAAGCTTAGGCATTCCCCATTTTAAATATATGACAAAATTCTCAACAACATCATTTTAGACCAATAAAAATCCAGTTTTCAAACTAGCACTCTTGTAAACAAAACTAGTGTGTTGCCAGGTGATATCAACGAACTATCATTTTGATGTTATGACATTGAGAATTTGAAATTACCTCAAAATGTTAAAAGTCCCCATTGTGGCTCATTTTGCCAGCAGAGGTTTCATATATGAATATACCAGTTTATCACAGAAAACTATATTCAAGCACCAACAAGGGGATTTCCTAAAAAGCATTCACCGGTAACTAAAAATATATCATCAGCAGATGCTCATCAGAGAGATGATGCATCTCAGGTCCTGAGTCCGATCTTAGCTGGAACTGTTTTCTTATTGCTTAAAATACATGACATTTAGAAACTGGTGCAAAATCTTAACAACAACAACAAAAAAGTAAAAATGCAGCCAACGATCTAAGACGGAGCTGGAGAAAACTTTAGAAAGTCTGAAGAACTACAGTAAAAAAACACTTAAAATTTTATTGTGTAGCTACTTGGAAGCAAAATTTATATAAAAACAAATGGATGAAAATTACTTTTGTACAGTACTGTACATTTTAAATACACCTCCTATTTGAAGTTATCAGCTGATCGATCAACACTTGATCAGACGTTGAGACTAAACGCTAAACAAACACGTTTAATTAAGGTTCGAATTGACGATGAATTTGTTTATTCTCAAGTCAGAGGCTAAAATCGGATTCTTTTTTTGGCAGAAATAAAAAGCTGGTGAAATAACAGTTTAACATAGTTGGTAAAATGCACTGCCTGGACAATAAAAGGTCACACCCTCATATTTTGTTGGACTGCCTTTAGCTTTGATTACGGCACACTTTCTCTGTGCATCAGCTTCTGAAACACATTTATTTTGGACCAGAGTTACATTCATTTTTTGTCAAGATCTTGTGTTGATGACGAGAGATTTGGACCACCACACAAAGCCTAGTCTTCAGGCAGTCAGCTGACCTCATTCTTTGGGCTCAAGACCTGACCAACTGCAGCAACCCCAGATCATAGACTGCCCCCACAAGCCTGAGGCCTGGGCACGATGGGTGCATCATTTCAGCAGACTCTCTTCTTACTCTGATGTGCTCTCCCCACTGCCCTTCCAGTTTTTAATAATGTGTTGGGACAGTTCTTTACCCAATTTTAGTTTCAATCTCCTTAGATATTTTCTCTGCTTGATGTGTGCTTATAATTTGAGCCTTCTGAAACACGACCACAGGATGTGTCTTTCTGGTTATTTAACAAATGAGAAGCAAATCACTGCATCACTTAGGGTTGAGTAACTTGTTGCCAGCTGAAACAGAATCACCCATGGAGGCTCTTACCCATTTGCTTAGTGAAATCCAGGTGGTGACCTTTTGTATGGCCATGCAGTGTATTTGGATACCTAACCAACAATGTATAAAATTACAAAAACAACTAGAGCGCTCAAAAGAAATTCATAAGCTTGGTTACTGTGTCATCACTTTCAAATCCCCAGAGTTTCTGGGCAATTATGGCAGTTTGTTACTTTAAACAAGATTATTATATTAACAGACTAAAAACTGATCTGATTGATTACTCTCTTAATTTTCCATAGATTAATTTAATAAATGTGGTTTCTGAAATTGGGAATGACGCAACAAAAAGGATCTTTGATGAGATCTTGCTATAACCAACTAACCTCAGTTAAAAGGGTCATCTCGCTGTTGTAAGTCGGTCGAGTATAAACAAAAACAGGACGTGCTAATCCTCCTCCAACAGAGGCAAGACGCATTGCCTCATTCAACCTGTTTCTAACGAACAGGCGCCCGTAATCTGTTGATTTCAGAACAGAACCCATGTATATTGATGGGAAAAATGCTGTGCACTCCATCCACAACCAGTTCAGCTGATTGTTTCGGTTCATTTCTACAAGGGGACAGCGGCCTGTGTAGTTTTTCAGCCCAATTTTGTAGTCATGGTTGTAACAATCTGGAAACAGGTAGAATCCCCACAGCTGATTTGGTCTCAGGCTCTTTGCAAGTTTCAGTGTTTCCTGCATGAACTTGTGAGCTGATAGCTCAAACTCCTGTAGTGCAACTTTCCCCACTTGATCTGAGGTCCACGTAGGGTTCTTTTTGGCTACTAATTCACGCGATTTAATCCTATAGATATCTTTGACATCCCAGTTTCGGATCCACAATGGACGCCAGTCCTCCCAGTCAATGACAGCCAAACCTTTTGCCTTGGGGTCTGGTATGTACTTGTCTAGTCCTGCAGGCATCTTTTCATAATGCTGAGTGAGACTGGCAAGCTGTGGAAGGCCTCCATTCACTGCAGAGCCCCCAGGCTCATAATAGGGATACAATCCAAGGCGTTCCTTATAGAACACTGTGAGGTTCTGCCGGACAAAGCCCTCATTGGGAGTCGCCACAATATCAAACTGGTTCAAGGAGAAAGTAACACCATGGCGTGGCCCACACTCCTGTGTTGGAGCATTCCAGACGAGAAGAACTGGCTTCTGGGAGTAGATAGGCCATCTTGTCTGCTTTGTGTCTGCTGAGCACTCGACAGTGCACTGTGTGAAAAGAGTCATAAGCAACGAGGACATCTGGACAGCTGTGGCGAGGTGAAATACTGCCTCCATCATGGTGGTCTCTGCTCACGTCTACTCTATCTCTAGAAATAAAGAGCAGAAAAGTTTTGTGAAATTCAAATAAAACATAGCTCCAAACATTTCCATTCAGTTAATTATTTTCTAATTACATGAAATGAAGTACAGTATATAAAAAAGCAAGAATTCCCAGTAAAGCTCTAGGAATTATTGCCTTTTATTAACACATTTCATGTAAAATTTGTATTTAAATTCAAGTCATTCCAACATTTAACCCATAAACTTAATTATAAAAATATTAAAATTGTTTTCTCACATTCAGTGCTCTTAATAGCATTAAACCACTTTATAAAAAGCTTTATTGTTTTTTTTTTAACATCTGGAGACCGTTAAGTTACGTTAGCCACATTAGCTCAAAAGTTTAATTGAAACTAACAGCTGTGTAGCTAACTTAGCTAACGGCTTTCTCCTTTTTCTTCACACTTACCTGTTCTTTTGTCGCCAAAAATAAGCACTGAAACCGTCAGAGAAGTCAGTTTTCCACCGCTCAGCCATGAGAAAAAGAGCAATCACTGCTCGCTTAATCCATTTTGATTGTTAAAGGAAGTTTGGAGCTTGACAAATCATGTTTGCATGGCTGGTGATGGTGAACGTCGTTGAGCAACAACCGATCGCCGCATTCATTGCAGCGGAGGGGGGTTCTGAGTTGTTTATTGTTTAATTTGCTGTGTATTTTAGTTTGATTTGGTAAAACATGCATAATTTATTTATATTTGCTTAAAATAAACTCATATATTTAATAATAACCCAGTCACATAAAGATATAAAATAAAGTATAGCTTTGAAGTGGACGCAACCCCCCCCCCCCACACACATTTTACCAAAGTGGTTTGTCCCATACGCTTTTTCGTTAGAATGTCATTAAAGGGTATTTTGGTCGTACCTGTTAATAGTTAAAAGTGTAATTATATGGGTAATTTATACGCTGTTCTGACAAAAGAAACAATTCCCTTCATGTTAAATTATTATAAATGTTTGTGTCACTCTGACTGCTTAATAACTTCCCTAGGCCCACAAAACTCCTATTATGGGTGAATTATTTTTAGTAACATGAATGGCTAAAGCAAGAGTGGGAGTTTATAACATTTAGTATACACAATAGCTTAAATTACTAAATTTATCAATCGAGTGGTAATAATCTGTGAATTATTTTTAGATTACATTTCCGAAAAAAATTTTTCAAAATAATTTCTTAATAAATAAAACACATTAATGACTTTGTTAATGCATGCACATAATAATGAATTTATTTAATCTAATTAATTTTACCCAAATTGCTAATTACTTTTGTTAAATAGCAAATGAAATATTTATGAATGACTTGTTAAATCTAAAAAAAAAAAAAAAAACTATACAAAAGCATGTTGGCTGTTTCTTTTATTTCAGCTTTTGGAGTAGTATGTTATGAATGCTAATAAATTGTATGTTTTGTATACTGTGTG